CCCCATTTCCCCTGTCACTGTTTTTCTGGTTTCTACTTAAATGAAATGATTTGCCTGAAAAATAATGCCTGTATCGAGGAGTAAGCAGCTTTGAGCAAAATTGTGAAGTAGACAATGTGTGTTAGGTGTCCCTTTCTTCCTTCCTTTTAAAGTGCAAACCATCCTTTTTAGTGGGGGCAGGGGGTCACCTCGGTTCTGGGAACCAGCTGGAGATAAAAACGTATCCTGCTAATGAAGCTGAATCTGGCCTCTGTACCCCGACACCAAATTAATTCTCAGAGACAGAGTTTTGGGTGAAGTAGAAAAGAATATCTTTATTGTTTTGCCAGGCAAAGGGGAACACAGCCGGCTAATGCCCTCAAAACTGTGTATCCCAACCAGGAGGGAGTAGTGAGGAGTTTTATAGTAATTGTTCAAAGAGGGTGTGATCAGCTTGTGGACATTCTTCTGATTGGTTGGTGGTGAGGTAAGTGGGAGTCAGCATCATCAAACTCCTGGTTCCAACCCGTCTGGGGTCTAGGTGCTTGTGGGCAGCACACTGTTAACTTCTCCCACCTGGTGGAGCTTTCAGTATCTGCAAAACAGCTCAAAGATATTGTTATGTGTATCCCTTGAGGGGGAACCAGGACCTTGTCCTAAGGCTGCACTACTGTTTCTCTTGACAGCTCCTCCCTTGTCTCCACATCCCCTCCCTTCCCTAATTAGCAACTGTTTGCATCTTCTCCTTGGAACTCAGGGAAGGTCATGGAGGCTGAAGGAAGCCTATTTCCTGTAATCAAGAAGTGGGGGATACAGAAAGGCTTTTGTGCCCAGGAGTCCCACAGGGTCCTGCTAGGTATCACTAACAGTGGTGTGCTCTCAAGGTCAGACCCCCACCTTTGCTGGCTACCTCAAAAGAAATACTCAATTCCAGGGCTCCTTTACACTGGAATGTTTATGTTCTTCATTATGTGCACAACAGATAAGAGAAAGATGGATTTTGCGCCGCTGAAAGCCCTTACTGTAACCTCCTGCCTACCTAGTGCCTTCTGGGCAAAACAGGTCTCCATCTTCTGAAGGTCTTTCTCACACTACCATCCATCCCTTGTAGAAGACTATTCCTCCCTCTCTTCAGTCCTACCCCTCTGCTGTAACTCCTTTTAGTCACAGGATGGATTCTGGGAAGCAGACTCTGAGTTTGGCAGGCAGGTTGTTCATGGATGCACACCCAAAAGCCTTCTTGAACTCCATGGAGAACTGGGAGCTAGAATGAGCCTTTAGAGTTGTCATGAGTGGGGCTGAAATGGTTGAGTCTTTATACAATTTCCCTTCATCAGTTAATAAGGTGGGCTGCCCTAGGAGGGATGTCACCATAGGTGACATGTTTGTGCAACTCAGGTAGTTCCTGAGGGGACTCATGGGTGATGTCTGCCTCAGGACAGCTGGAGAAACAAGCCCTTCCTTAAAGGAGAATCCTGGTAGTGCATCTCCAGGTCCATCACACCTTCTTTGCCCTGTTAACTCCTAGTCATTTTTTGAAATCGGTGCTCAAAGACATTTCATTTTTTTCCTTTAAAAAATAGATGTATAGCTGTATTCACACACACACACATATTTATTTATATTGATTCTTTCTGTCTTAGGGACAGTGAGCCCTGAGGGTGGGGAATTTTTCTGCTTAAAGACTCCCCATAGGAGCCACTCACTGTTTGACTGAAGGTTGATCCTTAGTAAAGATTTCTTGGTAGCTCTCTTTTCTGTAGGAAAAGAAGAACTGTTATCTCACATTCCCCTTTATTATTATTTTTTTCTCAGCAACATTTGCACCCAGGTAGAAGCAACAGCAATGAGGCTGAGGCTGATAAGCTGAATTAGTGACATAATGATGCTAAAGGAGCTTTGGATCGAATACCATGTTGTTCTTTAACATTATGTGCATAGAGGGCAGTCTGGCCAAGCATTTCACAAATGAATCCCATTCATCATTGGACGGTTGCCTGATCAGTGCAAATCCATCAACACCACTGAGCCAGTGTCTGCCGATTCCAACCCTGGTTCAGCACAGGACACACAGGACACATCCTGCAGTCTCTGTACATGGAGGCTGTATATTTTATAACTTTAGACTATGATGAGAAAAATTATATATCTTACATAACTATTTGACCTATTTATTCAGTAAGTAAGTGGCTAAATAAGCAGGTCAGGAAGGAATTAAGAAAACTGGATAATCCGCCCCTAAATAATAGATTTAGCTATCAAGGGATGGTGACAAATGTATGCAAAGATTTCACATCTTCACATCAATCCCACGTTTACAAAACATCATCTCAAATCCTTTTCAAGTATTTTAAAGTTAGATTGAATAGTCTATCCTAAAATTTGCATTGAATCTTTCATAAAAGGATTACTAACATTGGAGACGTTAAAATATGTATTTTGCCCGAAGGCATTTGTTAACTTCTGCATGGAGAAGAAAATAAAATGTCATATTTCGAATACACAATAAATATTCATCATCTGATCAAATGTTGGTAGTATATGGACCTTATACTGCCCGAAAGGGAAGCCATTGGTGGTCAAAACCACTCACATTTACTTATATACTTCCTTTAAATATGTGATAAGGGGACTGACATATTAAAGAAGTAGCCTAGTAATGATTCCTTTAATAGAAAATGTAGACCGTCTGTTCTATAATGAGGTGTCAACTGCATTCTCGAAACCCAGAAAATGGATTTCTGCGGCAGCTGAATTAGAAGAGTGACAGTTGGAAATACAACAACCTGCCGAGTGGCATTTGCACCTGCACACAGCCTAGGACAGAATCAGGTGGCCAGAAACCAATTCATGAAAATAAGACCGAACCTGGCCTTTTTCCCCTTTTGCACAGTCTTGGTTTCCGCTTCCCTTCCGGGAGCCGGGGGTGGGAGGGTGGCTGGGGCCCAACCGACGCTTCTACGTGGCCCCCAGACCCCACCCCCCAGGACCCAGCGGCCCCTCCCAGTTCTTCCGCCGCGGCACTGCTGGCTGCGCGCACTCCTCAGCTCGCCCTGAGGCCGCCAACTGCTGGCGGAGTCGCGTCTCTCATTCGGCCTTCGTCTTCCTCACTGCGCCCGTGCTGGGGTCCCTGCTGGCCCTTGGCTTTCTCCTTGCCGCTGCCACCCTGCTGAACAAGT